CATGAGTTGTAGATTAAATTTGAAGAAATGAACCTGGATCACACTAACACACGTCATAGGCACGTAAAAAGTGAGGGAGGGAGAGATGGAGAGGTTATCAGAAATTTTCTCCAAAACAAAACATTAGGCCTCTTTATATATGGTCTAAACATAGTCAACTTGAAGTTGGAAAGAAGATTAGAGTAAAGCCTAATTTTAGCCTGACATATAAAATTACAAGAATTTTAAATAAAGTAAATGGACAACTAAAGATTACGCCTCAAAAACATAGAGCTTGAAGGGTTGAGATTTTGAGCACAACCATTTTTCTTCCATAATCATTTGGATATCGTGAGTTAGCGCTGTAATCATTGGATGCTGCATTCGTAGCGTTAAGATATGAATAACAATCTGATAATAATATGAAACTCGGACCAAGTAACTGCATAATTCACGCTAACTAAGAAATTATGAGAATAATATAATATCATCGTATAAAGCGACCTATGGTTAATCAATCATAATATGAACTATGCCTCAAGACGTGACCAACCTCCTCATTCTTCCCTGAAATGTCTAGATAATCAGCTACTCTGGATATTCTACGGGCTGCTTTTCTACCATTAGCAAGACCATGTCGAGTACGACTTCGAGCACCACCAGGTCCCCAGTTAAGTGTCTGTGGGATTGAAGGGCTAGGGGAATCTCCAAATCTTCAGGATTGGTGCCGCTATCATCATCAGAATCCAAATCTGAAATGAAACCAAAGCAAGAAATCACAATTAAGAAGTGCTCTTACAGAAAAATAGCAAGAGGAGCTGAAATTTATCTGCGAGAAATAATCTTACTGACTACTCCTGTGTGATCTTCAGCTGGCAATAATCAACATGGGTTTCTGATTTTTGTGGCTCATGTTCTTCTTCATTGTTCAGTTGAAGAACTGGTGGTGGGTGCTCAACTCTTGCACCACAAACTGGCATCTTCTTGCGGCTGCCTCGTCGACTTATGTTGCGACGAACAGGCATATTTTGTAGGATTTTTTCTTGTGATTGTACTCTCTTTGATTTTTGGGGGGACACGGTAGCGCATCTGTGCTCACGGCTTTTCCCAATGATCGCAAAGGTACTTGTCTAATAACATAATATAATTTTTGTGATGTACACACGGCCTTGTCAGAGTTTGATAAAAGTTGGGAAAATGGAAGAAGTCTATGTTGAAGCTCCGTCGGAAGTATTTGAAGAGAACCCACAAGATAGACAAGCTCCAGTTCTTTTCTGGGTCGAGAAGATGTTTGAAGATATTATGGAAAAATTTTATGGGCCACCAAAGTTCCCTTCTTTGTTTGCTTCAGGAGAGGAAAAACTGTGACATTTATGGTCATTGGAAGCTGAAAAACCTGGGTGATTTTGGTGTAGTTGCTCAGTGCCTGGCTCCAACTAGGGCTAATTATCACGAATGTCCTGTTAAATATAAGCGCAGCTTGGTGGATTAAATTCTATGTTAGCCGTTTAGAAATCTTTGCTGCTCACGGTATTGAAAATTCCCTTGTAATTCTTGGAATGGATGTTTTACATGGGTCCCTAGGTCAGTCTGATATCACATCAATTGCTGCCGTTGTCAGTTCAAGGCAATGGTCATTGATACTCATTGCAGAGCTTCTGTGTGCACTCAATCATTGAAGGTTGATATGATAGATTCTCTGTTCAAAAGATTGTCACTGAAGATGATGGCATACTTAAAGAACCCATGCTCAATTTTAGTGTTTGGTCTGGAAAAATGATGCTTGACAAGATTATCATATTCAGGGATGCATTAGGGAATCACAGTTCAACCAAGTTCACAACATTGAACTCAATTAAATTAGAGTTAAGCCAAATATAAAGAAAATTGCTTTACAAAACTTCTACCACCTCTCACATGAGGTGGGTCCCATGTGGGACCAAACTCATTAAAAAATGGATAAAAAATTTGCCAACCTCACGCCTTGTGAGTAATCGGTGGGGGTTCTGTGAACCCCCAAAACCCCCACATATGTAAGCCAAGTAGAACTCATTAAATTATTTGTCTTGCAAGTTTCTAAATGAAAAATGGTCCCTAAAATTTGTGTTGACTGGTGCAAAGGAGAACAATAACACATATTTTTTCAGCTTGGTTCTCCTGTTAATGTGCAGTCAGGGACAGTAATAGATGGAGAATAATTTAATTAATGTTGTGTGAGATTTTTAAACCTTCGCATGTAAGCCTTTATAAGCTCGTGGTTCTTAACATACCGTATTGTCGCCAGGAGAAGAAAGTTGTATCTTTGATTTTGAGATCCGTGTGATTGTAAATGGAAGGAATCATGGATTCTAGTCGGTAATGGTAATTCCATGTCAAATAATAAGTCTTGTAGGTGTTTGGTAAGTAAATACTTGGTACTATGTTATATTTCATTACCTAAAACTGCACTCAGTGTATTGAAAGACCTCGTTTGCTGTAATGGTTGTAATTTGCCTAAAATGTATAACTAGTGCATTATTTTAATGCATTTCAAATGATCAATAAAATTGTGCGATCCATGTGCTAAATTTTTGTGACACATTTGCAATAATATTGTAGTAGTATTATTTCTCAGTTTATATTCTAAAGAAATTTTTTTTTTTTTTTTGAAACACAAAGATGCTTAATAACATTAAATTTAATTAACTAAATTGAGAGGTTCAATTAAAACTAACTCATTTGCAAGCATTAACCCTTGTATTTCAAATGAATTTTTAAATTTATTAGTTATGAGTGTCTTGATTGATGACATCGACTAAGTGGTCCAGTTCACATGATGAACTCGCACTGCATACGTGCAACAAACAGTTCTGTTTTAGTTGCTTATACTTGAAAATCTTTTCCAAATGATTACAGTGGTACTTGTCTAATAATGGTTGATGACTGAAACTAGTAGCCCTCAATTCATGATTTGTATGTTATGTGACCTGTTTGACTTCAAGTGTCGTTTTTTAATCAGAAAAATCTCGTTGCAGGAGATTCGGCAATGTATTTGAGGGCTAAAAATGGGGATCTCCGTGTTAGGACTTGGAGGGCCAACAGGGATGGTGGCATCGGTGGCCATGAGTCTTCATCTGAGTGGAATTATAGTGGTGGTTCTGGAAATTATAAGTACTTTTCTGCGTTTCTGAAGGGAGATGATAGCAAGTTGATGCACAGAAGCAGCAATAATGGGAGCAAAGTGAAGCCTCAGTCAGTTATGGAAGCTATATTTCTTGCCACCAATGGCCAGCCTTTTGAGGTGGCTTATTACCCACGAACAAGCACGCCAAAAGTGCTGCGATGAAGAACCAGTGGTTGTTCGATGGTGGCAGTTCATGGTGGCAGCGGTGGGCGGTGTGGATAGGTGGCCCATTTTTATTTCTTATTTAATTATTTTAATAAAATGTAAATTTACAATTTTACCTCTCACTTATTTTGTCAATTTGACTCAAACTTCTAATTTCAAGGTTGGATAACGGATTAATGGATGGATTCTATCCAATGGCCTCCGGCTGTAGTCGAAGTGAAAGGATTAGGACTGCGACTGCGAAAATAAAAGGTTTAGGTGTAGTCCATAACAAATTGAAAAGTTTGGAACCTCCATTGTAATTTTCCCTTCTATTAAGGTGACATATTTTCATTCACAAAAGAAGAATATAGTTAATTAGTTGTGTGTTTAGAGTGATGACAATGATTAGATCGCGTAGTTCACGCTGTGAACTCGTGCGCGATGAGCGCAAAATGCAATTCACTTTTAGTGGTGTCTTTGTAATAACATTTGTTATATATATACAAGGATACTTATCTAACAATGGAATATAATTTTTCAGGACTCACATAAATTATATATTCTGGTACCCAATTTTCAAATTGTTGGTAAATGTTACTTTTCAGTAAATTAATTTCATTTACTTATTCAATAGTGAAGCACTTCGATAACATCTAGTGTGATATTGGAGGCTTAGCTTTTGCGCTTCTATAATGCGTGATTCTAATAGCACCCATTGTCACAAGGAGCAGAAAGTCGTGCCCTTGATTTTAAGTATTTTTGTGATTTTATGTGGAAGGAGACATGGATTAATTCTCGTTAGTGTGGCAATCTAGTTTTAGATGTTTGTATATCTTGTAGGTGTTTTAAAAGTAAATCCTTTCTAAGAGGTTATCTTTAGTTGTTTCAAACCGCAATCACTGTATTGGATGACTAGTTATGAGTGTCTAAAGTGATGGCAAAGACTAGGTCTTGCAATTCACGTGCTGAACTCATAATGAATGTGTTGGGTTTTCATACCTAATAAATCCCAGGCGATGATATCGAATGGTTTGAATTAAGTTTCATAGGCCTCGGCTGGTTAGTGAAATTGTTATCAACATATCAATCAATTGGCTCAACCAGAAAGCAACTTGCGGGGTCGTTGGAAGCAACTTAATGAAGTTAATGTAGCTCACGACTCGTTTACTTCTTTGATGGCTCTCTTTTATGTTTGGCCCCTTTACCATTTATTGGTCCATGAGACCACTATTAGAGCCCATTTAAATTACACCCTAAATCTATATATGGCCTCATTTGTTGGAAGAAGCCGTGTGTGATATTTGCAGAATAGTGTCAGCCAACTTTTGTGTATCGTGCTCTTTTAGTGCGTGAGTTTAATACCTTTTGCTTCCTCCATTATTTCTCTTTGTGACTGCAAATTACCAAGTTCTTGTCCTTTGTGGGTGAGAAAGGAAGAAACCAACCACAAGTGAATACATAGTTGTGGTTAGAGCTTTTGGTTGATTGTTGCTTGATATTGGTAAGTTGAAACTAAGCCCGGATTCCATAAATCAAAGATCAATTCCGCGACACAATAAGTGCAGCATACAATTCAGTTTTAGGTTCTTATGCATGAAAATCTTTTCCAAATGATTACAAAGGTACCCACTAACTCATGGTGTTCAAATAATACAGAGGAATAATTATTGTTTTTCAATTCTCTAACTCCCAAGCTGAATGGATGTTCCAGAGACTTCACCTCCCGCTCCTCACATATATTGACAACGATTGGATTTCAGAGCTCATGTACCAAACTCGTATGCGATGCATGCAACATACAACTCAGTTTTAGTGGTTTAAACAAAAAAATATGTTCCAAACACATTTACGAAAATACTTGATTGATAACATAATATAATTTTTCAAATCTTACAGCAATTTTAAATTCTGGGGTCCATTTTCTAATTGTTGGCAAATGTTATTAATTCTTTCAATAAAATAAATTTCATTTACTTATTCAATAGTGGAGTACTTGAATAATGTCGAGTTTGGTTTTGAAGGCTTATGATCTGTTGTGCATCTGTGATGCGGTAACCTTTTGTCGCAACAAGCAGAAAGTGGTGTTGTTGATCTTGAGTATCCTTGTGAATGTATGTGGATGTAGACATGGATTCTAGTTAGTAATGTATTCCTGTTTTAGATGTACGTATATCTTGCAGGGGTTTCAAAAGTAAAGACTTGGTAAGACAGGTTATCTTTTATTTTTTCAAACTGTAATAAGTGTATTCAAAGACTTGTTTCCTAGGTAATTTGATTGTTCGCAATAATGGTTTTGATTTTGCAAACATATAAATGCAGCATATAGCTTAAATGCCTTCGATATACTAGAATATTGATTCTAAATTTATATTCCAAATATTTTTTTTGTTCCTTCTCATGCCAAAACTTTATGTTCCCTTTCCATGTTAATAATAACAAATTTCAACATCAATATTTAGTGCAAATCATATACCTAGTATGTATTTTTGTTGAAGAAAATTGTAACTAGAGAGAGTACCATAACCAAACAACAGCAAGAATTATGATAGGAGGCACAGGCAGATGTAGATGCGAGAGAGAGAAAAAGCTTCGACGGTATGATTTATTGTTATCTCATTTTGGTGTTAAGATTATTATTTTTTAGTTGGGCTGGTCGGGTCAGATTTAGATTTTGGTTGGGTTTATTAAATCGGATGAAATTAAGCCCTTATTTGGGTTCCATTAAAATGAGATTTTGATTTGTTTTTAGTATAGTGATTTTGTGGAGAATGTGTGGTTAAAAAATAAGGAAAGATTTTGAATTTATTTGTAATATTATTTTATGGAAGAATGTATAGTTGAAAATGAATTTTAAAAAAATTATTATTATTATTATTTTTAAAAAATGGAGCCTGAACAAGAGCTAAATTTGAGCTGGATTTTTTTATTGCAACGGGCTTTCACTTTCATCGCTGCCCGTTGCAAAAGGAGGAGATTTTAACAATGGGCAAAACGATGCAAAATATTTCACATATTAACATCTTTCAACAACGGTCACTGACGGTTGTTAAAGCTGCAAAGTATATGAAATTTGAACAAAGTTCGCTACCCTGTTGCAAAAGGAGGAAGTTTTAACAACGGGTGATGGATTTTGCAAAATATATCACATTAATTTTTTTTCAACAATGGTCACCGTCCGTTTTTAAAGCTGCGAAGTGCATAAATTTTTAACAACATTCATTGTCTATTGCAAAATAAGGAGGTTTTAACAATGGGCATTGAATATTGCAAAATATGTCACATATTAACTTTTTCCAGCAATGGTCATTGCTCGTTGTTAGGGATAGGTTACATTAGCAACATATATTGAAATATTGTAGTCAATTCTCATTTGAGTTAACCAACGACAGTATACATTAACTAACCGTAGTGATTAAAGTAAAACCCTCTTATACAATTAATGAATGTCGTTATTAAGACATTTTTCTTGTACTGAATACAGTAGATTAGTTATGAACGTCTAGATTGATGACAACAACTGATGGTGCAGTTCACTTGATGAACTCGTACTAAATGCGTGCAGCACACAATTCACTTTTAGTTGCTTATACTTCAAATCTTTTCTAAATGATTATAGAGGTAGTTGTCTGATAACGAAATATAATTTTTGTGATGTACACAGCCTCGTCAGAGTTTGATAAAAGCTGGAGAAATGAAAGAAGTTTATGTTGAAGTTCCATAGGATGTCTTTGAAAAGAACAGACAATATAGACAAGCTCCAATAAGTTTTTGGGCTCCAATATACCATTAATCTGGGCTCAGAAAAACACAAACGAACATCACACGGCTTCAAGCTCGACTCAAAACCTTCCTCCACTTGGTTGCTCCAAGATTTCTTCCACAAAGGATCATGGTGGTGGTGATTAGCAAGTCCACATAGGAAGGAAGAAGAAGGGGGTAACAATTGTAGAGTCCAAGAAAACTCCCAACCTACGGCTGCCTCTCTCCCTCA